AGACTCATGGCTTTGCACAAACACTTGTATATACAAATCTCACTTCAACTAAAAAAGAATGAAAATCTAATAACTATTTTTATGTCATCATGGCAAACTTCAAGGACCAGGGTTTGCCAAATTAGGCACAGATTACTGGGTTTAATTGCCGCTTGAAAAAAAACAGAAATGACAAATGCTGGGAACTCTATCCAAGACAGAGTCACAAGCCTTCTTTTTATAGTGGTGGTAGTCCTGAGTCAGTACTAATGTGCCAAAGACTGCCCAAAAAGAAAATACATGGCATGACTTTACATCAGCCAAACACGGTCAACACACGAGAGAACACCACTGTGCCTCACACTCCTCGCCTCCCTTCCTCTATTCACTTGGAGAAAAAAAGACAAAAAAAGGAAGAAAATATGGCTTGGTAAAACCACCTACAACATAGCAGAAAAGAACATAAAAGTCTGCATGATCTTTGAATACTTTCAGCAACAGTTTCTGCTAAAATTATAAAGAAATTTGGAGTCAATCATTTGAAGATAATATTCCAAAATATGAAGGTTCTCACAAAGTTTGATGTTGGAAAAGGACTACAGGACCTGGTATGGGTCAGGCAATCAGAACTCACAAGAGGACTTCAAATGCCATGCACATAAAGCACCACTTACTGGCTGAATACACAGTATATACTATAAAAATATTTCCATTCCCAAATCAGAATTTTCAGAAAACTCACCTTTGAGTGCAAAAAAAATGACCAGCAGTTCATTTACTGTTCTTGTCAGAACATACCTCTTAAATAACAGGAGTCAAACAAAGACTTTTGGAGGGATGGAAACTGAGGAGAATAGTAATGTGATTCATAACATATTGTACGTAGTACGCAAAGAATAACAATTTTATACCTACTGACTCTAAATAACTTTTTGATTATTTTCTGACATATGAGAATCACATCCTGGTCTTTAAGAACTGTAATCTTTAAACTCATCTTCTGCAAGTTGTGTATTTGTTTACAAGGACTAATACTTCCTAGGTACAGTACAACGTACCAGAAAAAATTGACTGAAGTCTGCTATATTAGAAGATGGAAAATTTATCCATTTTTAGCAAATGTCAAATCATTGCCTATTGCTTTTAAGATTAATAAAAGATATAATGGTTTCTAGATAGCCTCTAAATAAAGATTACTATGAATGGAGAAATGATTTACCAATAGTCACCACAATGAGATTTCTTTAAAGGTTACAATCATCAGTTATTTAGCTGAAACACTGCTGAGAATGCCTGGTCATTTCTTGAATAATGCATAATGTTCATTGTAGATTTGATCTGTATTATAACAATACAGATATTTCTAAAATAATGGAGAAAAGTATCTGTTACCTTCCAATTGCTCAAGATATTTCCATGAAGTAATTGACTCTGAAAATATTATATGGAGTTACCTGAGTGTTCATTTGCAAGCACAACTTGTAGTGATCGCTACACAACAGGCATAAGAAAACAAACTCATCAGCCTTTATAGACTTTTAAGAAAAGCTGTGATAAATGCAGGGCAGAGTAAAGGACCTTCCTGAAATACCAAATTAAAATTATTAAATTGCTGTACAGTACTGTGGATAAATTTAAAAATAAGGTTTGAAATTTAATTATTAATACAAGCAGAACAATTTATTTGGGGGGGGTCAGGGGGGAAGCAGTTGCCTACATAATGCAAGTACCTCTCATATAATTTTCCAAATACCTTTAAGCCTATTCAGAAGATTGCTTGGGCACACACAAAGTATAATGTCTAGTGTTTTACTGTAGGACTATCAACCATACTTCATGTGAAGCTGCAAGCTATTTATGTGATCTTGTTTATCCATATGAACTTCTAAAAGGGCAGCAAAAAGCAACCTTAATAAATGAAAATGAATTTCTTTTGATGTAATTTCATGAATGTTTGATCAGAATGTGTGAACAGGTTTCTGTGTAAGGAGAACTGGTGAAGTAATAAAATATACCTGTACTATACAGTTAAACCGGTTTATAGAAAATTCTTATACAATGAAACGCAGTTTCATCAAGCATTATTTTGATATACTGACACACAAATAATACAGTTCTGGGTAGTAAAAAGCTAAGTACTCAAACAGGGGAAAACAAAAAAAAAACAAAACACAAACAAAAAAAAAAAAAGAGAGCAAAAATCCTTACCCAGCTCCCCCACACCACTTAGGCCTAAAGGAATGAGAACCATATCACCAGATAGGTGGAAGAGCAGGATTATTTTATCAGATAGGGGGAATAGACCTTAAATGTTTACGTAGCTTTTTTACAGGAAGAAATGTGTTGATCTAGGTCAGATTATTTATGGTGTCAGCCAAGAATAAGGTTTTGTTCTTTAAATTTTTTTTCTTCATTAGAATCTTTGCACAAAAAGGAAGCTTCACTATTCAGGTATATATTCCACAAGAGATTAATGAAAAACAGATCCCAGATACTCTGAAAACATATACAGTGATCTGCAGAGATCAGACTTTCTGTAATAAAGGACAGCTTGCAGAAGCACTGTACATCTGTTAGTTACAGGAGTTTGGGGAGGAATTATTTATTTTAATAGACAGATCATAGATCACACAGCAAAGTCCACTTTACAATCGCCTTGAAACACTGTTTAATTGCCTAAGAATAAACTCTCATCCTGAAAAAATGAGGAACATTTGCATATTATATTAGAAGCCCCATGAACCATGTTATACTCGTGCTCTGGATGATGCCATTATTACTTTTTTTTCCTCCATGAAAATCATATATGATGTGGCAGATAATATAAATGAAATATATGAAATGATATCAATATGGCCAGCTGCTAAATCACCAGCCTGAAAGTCCTTTGGTTTTTTCCCTCCATGTCTATCTCTATCCATTGAAAATTATAACTTCTGTTAACTAATATTACCCTTCCATTAAATGGAAGAGCAGGTAAAAGCCCTTTGCACCATCAATACTAGTAACACTTCACGGGCAGTTGTGGGCTGATACATAAGATTCTATTTCTCCCTCCTCCCTCCACTGTTTAAAGATGGCTTTTTCTTTTGCCTCATGCTATATATACAGTCTATCTAGTTTAGTGTAGATGAAGAGTTTAAGTTTCATAATGTGTGGAAAAAACCTGAAGTGCTCAAATCTCATATGCTTCTGTCCAAAATATGTTTAAGCAAAACATGAGATCAGTAGCTAAAATAAAACACGGTAGTTTTCCATGCTGTCAAAGCCAGCACAACCACAGTTCCCAACTTTTGGTAACTGAGTTCTCTTAATGCAACTTCCTCCCTAATTTAAAATACTTATCAGACAGTAAGATCACACACATCTACATAAGTACCACGAGAGGAAAAAAAAAAACCACAACACACCACAAAAAATTGTCCAGTTTACACAAGTCGTTGGAAACACTATTTAGGACAAACACACACATAGCCTCTGAAATAACTGATTCCTCCGTTACCTGACTTTTGTGGCAACTCATGTCTACAACATTGTTTTTGCTGCCCAACTGCTTGTTTGAGCATGAAAAGAGGGTGTTTAAAATTGAAAATAGTCTATTTTGGCTGAAAAGTTGATAGATACCTACTGTCTCAAAAGTCAAAACAATTTCTATACACATTATGAGATGATAAATAAAATCTCCTAGTCTCTAACCTGATGATTTAAAAATTTGGATGTGATGCTCTCAAACTTCAGAAATACATGATTCTGCCTGTAAGGTAGAGAATTAAGAGTCTGAGTCCTCAAATCAAGGAATAACATCATGCTCCTCTTAAACTCATCCTTATATAAAATACTAAAACAAACCAACACAATCACTGCTGAATAACTTTAAACAATTTAGTCTACATCACCCAGAATACTTACAACCATAATAGTTACATCAATAGGTTCGTTGTTAAATAAAAAAATAAATTAAATAAGAGGTTTATTTCACCTTCACATGGTGTCTTTCTCATGCAGACCTCAGATTTCCACATTTGTATCCCTTTAAAGGATTTGATATGCAGGGAAAGAAGAAAGGATGATGGTAAAAATCTCAATTTAAAGGTTATTAAAGGCTGCCATATTCGATACTATACAACATATTTACTCCATACCTTTTACTGATGTATTAGGTGGAGGTCCTTCCATTCTCAAGTTCCATGGAGGATCGCCTTGATTAGCAAAGTCCCTCATTTTCAGATAGCTAATTGTAAGTCGGATGATGGATGCCTTGTCAAGCTGGCTGGTAATGGCTGCAGGCAGTGGCAACAACTTTGCCAACTCATAGAATTCAAAATTCTCCTTTCCCCTACGAGAGCGAGCAGCATCTCGGGACTTTTCCTTCCTCAAAGCTTGTAAGCTGAAAGAAAATAAACAAAGTAGGACATTCATCAATATTAGCGTTCTGTCACATTTAACCAATGTGCTTTTTCACTGCTGGTCTTCTGCACAAATTGCCACATTTTCAAAATGCTGTTGTGTATGAATATACAGATTTCAGGATATGCGTAATGGTACTCCAGTCTTTGAATGATTAAAACTAATGATAATGTTTGAGTTTCAGTGGTAGCCAACACGTTAAGTAACTACTCCTAACTCATTTCAGACAGTTTCTTCTTAGCCTCCCCTTCCTTTTTCTCCTGTCAGCTGCAAGAAAAGATTCCCAAGAGTGCTGTGTATATGTGGGGTTTATCTGCATAGATGCCATTGCTTCTTCTGACCCATTGTAACCCAATTTTGTCAAATTTGTGCCAAATTCTGACTCTTGGGAAAAGGATGTTAGAAGCAGATGACTGAAGTGTGTGCCACCTCTGACAGGGGTTGCAGCACAGCCAAGATGACCAAACAGGTTGTTTATACAGTAGCTTCTGAGCCACAGAAGTTTAAGTCTGGAGTAATAACATAAACCTTCCTGGATTTCATAAAGCTGCTCTTTATGAGTTTTTCAGCTGTCCCAGGAACAGAAACTTTTGTCAGACAGGTGAGCAAGCAGTTAATACAGTTATGTGCTTGACATTTCTGATGGTACTTCACTACCACATATCCGGCAGACTGACAACATTTTGGTCAGAAAGGACCTTCTGTTTTACACTGAGCAGGTGGAAATGCAAAGACATTCATTTAGTCCTGTTGCATCCATGTATCAATTGTTACTACCCATATGCAACACCTATAGGTAACACAGATTTTACTCCTGGGCTATATAATTAGCGTAAAACTGCTGAATGCATGTTGTGATGACAGTGAGTAACCACTGGGGTCTTCCCCTGATCTTTCCTTGAAACTCAAAGGAAACTCGTTTCAGCTGGTTTCAATATATAATAGTACAGCTTTGCAATGGGAAAGGGATTAACTTTTTCTGTTGTGTGGTTTGGGGCAGACAAAGAAATGTACAGTACACGTCCCAAAATATTGGGAGTCAATGAGTAGATAATACAAAGAACAGATATTGCCTCTTTTGTTTTAATGAGAGGTTTTAAACTTTTTTTTTTTTTTTAGACAGAGTGTTCAACTTGGGATATGATAAGCCGGACCATACCTCTGCCTTGGTGCATGGAGGCTGGTGCTGATGCTGCGGTTGGTGTCTGCCAATTGCTGTGTAAGCTGAGTAGAAATCACCCTTGTCCTTTATAAAGGCTCTATCTTTCCTTTGCTTCATTTGTTTAATTATTATTCATTGGATGAAGTTACAGCCACAATTCCATTAACTAGTCATTGGTTTACAGCAGAGCTAGAATTCCACCAGTGTATAACAGAACAGCAAACGCTTGTCCCAAGCTTCTACAACCCTTCCTGAAACCCTGGATTTCAGTAAAATTAAAAAAAAAAAATCACAATGGCCAGATCTACAAAAGCACTCTGGCACATGAAGCAGATCAGCAGAATTTAGGCACACAGATCTAATACCATGCTTCTGAGACCTCTACCTATCTTTCTAATTTGGAAATAACTTAAAGCTACAGAGGTTCTCTTCTTTTAATGTTCTTAACGACCTCCATTTTCATAGCTATCTCTGCCACCTCAGACTTGGAAGGGCAGATCAGCTGGGCCCTTAAAACACCCATGAAATCTTTCCATCACACTT